GTCCCTTCCAACCCAAACCATTCTAGGATTTCTATGATCACTGAATCCAGTTCCTTTGCACTTTATTCCCTTTCACTGTTTACACTGGAATCAGAGCTGGTAAAACTACCCTCACCTCCCCAGTAGAAAAATGACTTAAGACACTTTCAGTTACCATCAAGAAGTGCCTGATAGAAGAAAGCTCTGAGGTTTAGGTTACAGGTAATTTTGGTGTGAAGTAGTCTGTAAAGGCTCTTGAGCAGCAAGAAAACTTTTAATCACTCCAGCCAGAATTCTTTATTAATACTGCAAAATCCCAAATTTCAAACCATTACCTTTCATAGCAGATTATGTGGTATATGTGAGAAGACTGACATTTACCTAAAGAACAGTTCCTGTTTAAGAACTCCAGACAGTGGTCAAGTTGCATTGATTTATTTCTACTCCCCAAGTCCACATTACAAATAGCACATTTTAGACTTCAAGAAACAAAGGCAAATAGCCAAACTCCACTTCATCACTCGAGCGTCCATAAAAGGTATGGATCAAGTGGCAACAAAAGTAGCAAATGTATATATTTTCTAGCTCACCAAAGTGGTTTGGGCTTGTTTACCTAATGTTTTATGGAAATAACCTGAACAGAAATAAATGCTAGTAGCCTAGTGGGCTACACACAAACACACTGCAGTTGTATTTCACTGAATGACTAGCCAATTACAAAGACAGGTATTTGCAAAAAGAGTTGTTTTTAAGGGGCCAGTTTTTTGAACCAAAACACATCACAGAGCAAGGGTTTTCAAGAATTTCCCTCCTGTATTTCAGACCAGTGAAATGTGTTACTTCGGGGGGGGGGGGGGGGGGCGGAAAAGGAGAACACGATTACTGCACTTTATCATTCAATTTTTATACTTGGGCAAGTTGGCATTATCATTCAAAATGAAGTTGTACATAACTTAATTAGAAATGAAGTTACCTAAAAACCAAGAAATTCGATTTAGGCCAATTCCTGACTTCAGTGGGATATCTGCCTGAGTAAGGAACACAGGATATGGCCTGTTCGAAGGAATCTCATTTTCTCCAGCACACAGTTAACCAAGGAATCCCATTTCAGTTATTCTAAAGAGTTGTTCCTAACGTCACAATTAAAATTAGCCAGTATGAAGCTCACCGAAAGCTTGATCCTCTTAAATAAACTCCCTAATGAACCACACAAATTCACGCTAACAGTGAAGGCAGACTAACAGTGTATATCTTTTGTACAAATAAAATCCACCATAAAAAATAGCAATCACACCCAGATTTGTACTCGATTGTGACATATTCCAATTGTACTATACAGTACATTTACTTTAAAAAAAAAATCATAGTATGTTGGGGTTTTTTTAATTCCTAACACTTGAAATGTTTAAAACTGCAGAATCACTATACATATTGCACTTCTCTGGTAAGCTGGGCTACTATGCTTCATGGCAAAAACATCCAAGTACATCTACCAAGTAAAACAGCATCTCTCTAATCCAAAAAAGGAACTGAATTTCTTTCCTGCAGCTCTCATGAAAACTGTAACAATATTTTTTGTAGGCTCTTCTAAGCTTTGTTTCTGAAGGATTGCTGTGTTAACTTGTTACAGAATCCATATTTATTTTTTAAAAATTAACAAAACTCAAGGTAATGAATAGATTTAACATACAGTGCACTATCTTCCTTCAGTCACAAACAAAATGAAGACAACACAGGCCATTAATACAGTTACACTTAGGCTTCAGGTTACTGTCGCTTTAAAAATAGTTCACTTCAATGGCGAGTTACAATTTTCTCAAAGCAAACAAAAACCAATAATGAACTATTTGTTTTGAGTGGATAGTGTTAATCTATTGCAGCTTGGTTTAACGTTTGATTCCTTACACTGAAAAACCTCAGTACATTTGCTCCAGCGTCAGAGAAAATGATGCAGTTTTAGAGAAAAAGCTTTCACAATGCTTGACACAAACAAGCTATTTATTCTTCAAGTTCTTTGTCAAAGATGTTACTAAAACCTTCTGTCCATTTCATGAACACAGGAAAGATCCCAGGATGTCTTGAGTCAAAGTGGTCCATAAAGAAATTCTTTGGAATGTCTTAAGATTGGCTATAACTAGAGTTCTGGCTACCATTCGGACCCTGTTCTCCTTCACTGTTTGGAAGAAAAAAAAAAAAACAAACCACGTGTCTTCAAAAAGAAGCATCGTATTACACTTTTGTCTTCTTTTTAAATTAAAAATACAGTATTCTGAAAGTAGTAAAAACCTTTTGAAGGAAAACACTTCAACATATACACAAATAGGTTAAGATATTCTGCTCAGCTTCATAAAAAATGCAAAAAGTTATTCTCAGCATGCATGAGTAACTTCAGTGTACTTATTTGCATATTAATTTCAATATATACCCATGCACCTGCCTACTGAATCCACTTCTGAAGTCAACATTTTAAAGTTACATTACAACATTACAAAGTTCACATTACGTAAACATGTGTACAGGAATCTGCATGTGCAGATTCCCGACAGTGACATTTAATCACAGTAATTAAATACAACATTCAAGCAGGCCCAGTTCCAACAAACCTGGCCCAGCCATGGAGCCTCACATCCCGGTTCCTCACATTTGCTGAGCTGTATCGATCACATTCTAATCACATTAACACTCTCCGTAAAACAATGAATATTCTGCTTCTCACTAGCTCCTGAACAATCAAGACTGGCTGGCTGTAATGTAAAAAACACTCGCTATACCTCAAATTAAACATTTGCTCCTTCTTAAGATAGTAGTCCAGTTTTTCCGTATGAAAGGTATATTAAAGAAGTACAGTACCTGTTTGGAGGTGGTTTTGGTTTAGGCATTTTACTAAGAATAGTAGCCATCTCTTTCCTCTCATCAAAGTTCTTCCACTGCTCATACAGCTTCAGAATAACCCTGATTATTTCTAAAATCTGATTAGAAAGAAAAGAGATCCTAAGGTCAGACACAATAGTCATTTTATATTTGTCGTAGTCAGTTTAAGTGTGTAATTAATTAAACATGCCCCAAACTGAAATTACACAGCACAATTTTCATATTATAAACAGAGCTGTCTCACATTTAATCTGGTCTGGCAATCAACCATTTCTATAATTAGTTTTTTTGATTTAATTGTGAATGGAAGCCTGAACAGAATACTTTCCTTCCCATTCAACTGTACATATCACTCCTCCTCCTCCTCTGAAAGCTGAATAGCTTTTTATGTATTTATTTGCAACTACTGCCACATCTTATAACTATGTTAACTGGGAAAATGCAGGCACCTGGCAGCATGACTGCAGCTAGATGACTATGGATTACCAATACAGTAACTGATGATTATCAATGTTCTATACACATCAGAGGCACAGTGTAGGGGAAAAAAGCCCCAAACCACAAAACATTGGTCTGAATTCTTTCTTTCCAAGAAATAAAGTGCTAAGGAGTGTCTAAATTATTATTATTATATTCTTATATACATGTAGTAAGAATTGTTGAACTTTCATATTCCACTTCTTAAGCATTCGCTACCAGTTTGGACACTTTCTATCTACTGTACCTCAACTACCTTAATTTCCTATTAAATTTCTAGTGCAATATTCCATACAAAAGGTAGATATCATTTGGATCATAATTTGTTTCATCATTCTCTGAATTAATACATTTCTTCTTTTTTTCTATATACACAGACTATGATTAAGTACTAGAACAATACAAATCCTTGAAACAGAAGTCATAGCTGGCTAAGAGGTCCATGGTGTTAACGTAAAAAAAATCCAGCTTAGATTGTATCGCCAGCATGAGAACCAAGACATGTAAACATTCAAACATGTTCAGTATGAAGCTTATGGTAACCTTATCTGTCAAATATAGGTTGCTTCTCCTCTGCTGCCAGTTTATTATCACCCTGCTTTTACATGCATGACAGCATAATTCACAGAGGTCTTGATGCAGCATAGCATCCACACCGTGCTTAAATTTGAAGACAAACCCTGGAAATCAAATACAATGCCAGGATCCCATCAGTGGGATAAAGGGCAATACCGGGGACGCAGAGGGCAATGGTATGTCTCATCCATAGTAGGCTATTTAATCCCAGACGCTCAGTTTCAGAAAAGATAGACTGAAAAACATGTGCAGAGTGAAACTGTGATAAGGAGTATGAGTACTGGTTTGGCTTGCCTGCTGGAGCTAAACAAAGGCTAAAGAAGTCAACCTAAAAAGTAAAAGGAACTAGTGAAGATGAAGAACATTATTGTTATGAGAACAACTGCACCTTGGAACCTCATAAATTTATGAAGGGGATTATTTGACATAGAATTTGCAATAGCAAGGAGCTCAACTGAATGATCTTGGCGTTCCCTTGTTTAACATTGACTGAAGTCAGGTCCTGGTCATCCTGAAAGTGTCAAGAATGATTTACACTTTGCTACACTATGTTCATTTATAGGGAGAAAATGAGAACAGTATGTAGGCATGAGAACATAAATTTATGAGGTTCCAAGGTGCAGTTGAAGGGGATTATTTGACATAGAATTTGCAATAGCAAGGAGCTCAACTGAATGATCTTGGCGTTCCCTTGTTTAACATTGACTGAAGTCAGGTCCTGGTCATCCTGAAAGTGTCAAGAATGATTTACACTTTGCTACACTATGTTCATTTATAGGGAGAAAATGAGAACAGTATGTAGGCACGATGCTGAAAGGTGAAGCAGAAAATCACATGCACTAGAATTTAAAAGTCAAACTCGTGCTGGCAATCTTGAATGGCGAAAAACATTGGGAATTCTTTTTCTGGCAAAAAATGCAAAGGATATTGGGTTTATATTGCCATCTGAAAAACGACACCACCAGCGACACTTTGCCGTTATGCAATGGTTCTGGCTTGAGTTTCAGAGTAGGGTGATAACCGAATTACCTGACATTGTCTCCCTCCCCAAGAGACCTACCTAATTTCAACAGCACCTAACATATGATCACTGAATGAAGTTCAAATCAGTACCGCAGACATGTAAGACAGTAGTTTTATAACCATGACTACCATTTCTGGTCAGTCCATAACAGGTGATGGGAATTAAAAACAGAGTACCTTTTCCATATCAACAGATAACTCAGCAAACCATTGCCTTGCATCCTTCTGCTGGACAACACAGGCCACGTGTAGGCAAGCTGCAAAGATCAAGTGACATGGGTATTGAACAAAGATCCACTCTTGATACAGTTAGAAACATTCTATATTTTATAAACACTATAGAGTTCAACAGAGAAAACTCAGGATCCATTATCTGATTTTTCTTCAAGACTTTTTAAGTTGCAAGGCTACAGTGTCAATACTGTATGAAACGCAAACTGAAGCACCTTATGAGGGGACTCTAAGGAATGCTTGTTGAGGGGAACAGCACACAGATTATATCCATTTAAACATGGCAAGAGACATTGCTTGTGTTACTTACCTAGAGCTATCATGAAAGGAGGGTACAGCAGACAAAGATCAGTCCTATATGTGTCATTCACTATCCTCCTGTGCAAAAAAAGAACTTGTAAGTATCATCCTATTCACCTTTAGACTATATGACTCCAAAAACTACTGTCAGTTTAAAAGTATTTTGTCAGTTTCCCAGATGGCAGAAGCAGCGAAGCTGCAGGGCAAAACGGCAAGGGAAGAGATCTCTTCCCTTGTAAAATCTCTTAAAGCCTCTCATTTTTTTTCCTTGTAGTCACAGCAGAAGTTTATACGGAAGCACTATTATAGTACCATAAATGTCTTTCTGTAGAAGGTGTTGATATGTACTCTGAAACGATTATCCCTGTTTCACAAATAAGTAACGGCAAGCATAAAAGTAGTATTTTTACTGTCTTTCTGTGGTTGAGAAACAGTTCAAGAATAAGAGTTCTGCTAACACGGCTAAAGACCCCTACATACTGCTTCTACCTCTTATGACAAACAAGATACAACAGAAAGCTGACGTTGATAGAAAAAGATTACCTCTAGTCATAGTCACCATTCAGTAGTGTGAAAAAGTATGCTACGAGAGCTAGTCTAAAAATAAAAAATTAGACCATTGCAAAGTAAAATCATTACTGGGTTAAAAACATAATAAGCTAAGTCAGGGACATATACCTGCACAGGTTAACTAGGGCACCCTTTGTATTCAAATATGGCTAAGTCAGCTTTTGCTTAACTACCTTTGAAGCACAACTGTTAAACACTTGCTTTCTTGCTGAAAGGAAGCACTACTGTTAATCATTGTCTTCATTACCATGCGAGAGGTAGCAGCATGTCTTCTTGGCCCATATCTTGCACATATTGGAGCAAAGGTCTATAAGGATGATATACTATCAAACAGCAGTCCTAGGAAAAATGTCAATGGGATAAAAGTTAGATTACAATGCAGAATGTGTTGTCAGTTCATATAAAAAACATTTGATTTACAAGTCAATTACTGATTTATTTATTTTTTAAGCAGCATTCTGACACCTAACCCTGCTCTAATGAGGGCAGTGCTCTCTCTAGAATACTATTACATAGCACGGTTGCCAGTCTGTCGATGTCCTTCCCCTAAGAGACACAGAAAGCCACATCTGCAGCACACTGAAACCTCATTTGCCTCCAACCCCGTAACTCCCACTTGGAAACACAAAACACTGCCAGAAAACAGTCTGTCACTAAATACCATACATGGAAAACATGCCAAAATAATTGACACTGGTTCGGAAAGAAAGAAAGAAAAAGAAAAAAAAAATCCACTGCTCTCAAATCTCCTCTTTTCAGGCCCAGGTTGGTATAAACAAGAAGGACTAACTCTCTTGCCGAAAGCAGACAACTGTATGGATACCGTAGAGAAAAGCCACATTGTTACATGTGCTGAACACTGAAGTGAGACGCAGTTATTATACATACTATATATTGCACAGTGTACTGGAAAAATAAGTTAATCCCCAAAACATAACTTCTTGCAAATGCAGTTACTTGTGATAAAACTCCTATATGCAAAACTCAAGACTTACTGCATGTATAGCAGAGGTATCAAGGACTAAATCTAAACAGGATATCTAAAAAGGGGTTATAACAACTGTAGGCGCAAACAAAAACTTCAATCCGACCTCCTTTGTGTCCTGTTCCCAAAACACATCCCTTCTCAGTTGCTGCCTAACTCACTAGGCTCCTCCCTGGTTTCTCTCTCCTTTTCTCTGCACTTGGGCAGAACTAGCCCAGCACAGCGAGCTCGGTGCCTAACCCATCCAAGTCCAACCAATATGCAGAAATCCAGCACCACTTTACCTAAGCCCCCTAAGAAGTCTGGGCTGCATCCTTGCCCTAGAAAACACAGCAATGGAATAGCAACCCTTACAAGAAGGAGGTACAGCTCCTTTCTTTGAAAGTGCCTGGGAGAAAATGTCATGTTGTGCTCCTTTCACCCAACAGCCTAATGGTTACAACACAACCTCAGAAAATGGGAGGCCCTGAATTCAGTTTCTTCCTCACAGGACTCAAACTCACATCTCGCTTTCTAGAAGATTACTTGAATTATCAGGTTATACTACCCTGAGTGGGATACTACGCACATCTCTAGCTGAAGCTCGACCATCGTGTAGGTCCAGATTCTTCCAGGCAAGAAAAGGGCATAGCAAGAATACACCTCTTTGTGCTCTTGACTGGCCATTCATCCGGGGAAATAAGGACACCGACACACTAGTCTCTGCATCAGGACTTACATAGAGTTACCTTTCTTTTTAAAACAGAAGCAGTTCTGGAAACAGAACTTGTGCTTTCCCCTTCCCAACAATGCTCTAACCACCAGGATGCAGAGCCATAGATGCTCCTCCTGTCCCCACCGCTCCTGCAATCTGCCCTCTTTCTGTTGAGAAATCCAGCGTCAACACAAGGAGGTGAGAATGCCCTCACTCAGCCTAGATGACAGCACAGGAATTATGGCACTCTGCTGAAAATGTGAATGTTAGACCAGCATGGACATAATTCTAAAATTGGAGTGGGGGAATAAAAAAAAAAAAATGTATAATGCATATTTCATAGCACAAAATTTAAAATATTCTTTATCAGTAAAAAGTAAACTGAGGCAACAGTAAAAAAAAAAAAAAAAAAAAAGCAAACCACCAAAAACCCCCACCTACCATTAATTCTAAGAGATAGAATTCACATTCTAGTATCTGCAAAGAAGCAAAAATCAGTTAAACAGCAGCATGTTTCAGCCAGCAGAAAGAATTAACTGGCACCCAGTTTAACATTATGAATGCACAGGAACAGGAATTCTCAACACATATTTCCAACAGTCCTACATGCATTTCATCTGAAACTACAAAACCAAATAAAAATCAAACTATTATTAACCGTTGCCTTACAACCACTATAACTTAACTCCAGTCATATTAACAATGTATTTAAACATTTTAGATCATGTTTACTATGAAAGACTACTTCATTGGCAGCACTTCTCTGATTTGTTTGAACACCTGGCAGCAGCAAATTGTTCCCAGTATATAAACACTTAACAGCAACAGACAACTCCTTTTCCAGAATTACAGCCTCTTCATCAGGCCACTAACATGCCAAATGGCCTTTTAAAGTATTTTCAGATTTAATTACATATTTTCAATATTCTGTCCAATTGTAGCAATTAAGTCAGCTCTCATTTTCCATAGAGCTAGTGACGTGCTAGTGATATCAAGGAAAAGACTGGACTACTTTGGCCATAGGAAAGCAGTACTCCAAAATGTATTTCCATTTACCTTTATCTGTAAAATAGCAGTGCAGTTGTATTGCAAAGTCTTAGATATTTTATATTCTGATGTATTATTTGGCTTTATAGACTGGGTGAAAAGCAAACCAACAAAAAAATTAGTATTTGTCACAGTTGATCTAAAAATAATTAGTTCTACAAAAAATACTACAGCACAGGTCAAAATTGGTTTCAAGAAAAACTACAAAATTTCTCAGCATTGTGACTGAGAATGCTTGAAAACCACTGGTAAATGTAAATTCTAAATAAAAATAAAAATGATTTTTCAAAAGCCATTACATTTTACAGGCAAAAATAAAACTGCATTCTGTAAGCCAACTGCTCTTGTGCTTGGAAGCATCCAGGTGCAAGGGCTATTTACCTTCCCTGGAGCAATGTATTTGTAAACAAGAACATTCAAAAAAAGCTAAATCTCTTTTATCATCATACTATATAAAAATTACTATTTCAGTCACCCAGTCACATCACTTCTCCTTATAGCATTCCTGTCAACAATTTAAGGAAAGGAGGTTATATACAATTTATTACTTTTGAAAGAAACTTTCCCAATAATGTATCCAAAAGTAACTATGAGCAACCTGACATATGAGTATGAAAATATTTCTTTGAATTTAAAAGAAAGGATTTCCTGCTAACAATTATTTGTCTTTTAATTTATTTGATCAAGTTGTATTTTGAACAGCATACTTACATGGTTCATCCTATAAGGAAACTCCTTCGGAAAGGCATACGAAAACCTAGTTTTCACTACAGTAAAGAGAAATCAGTATGTTAAAAATGATGTAATTAATACTTTTACTTCTTTCCCTTTCTGTTAAGTCATTTGTCATTCATAGCCCTTCGAATCCATTTGGCAGCACAACTGCTTGCAGTACTAAAGGTTTGTATTTGAAATACAAAAGTTATAAAATTTAAGATCCTGAAAGGGAAAG